AAAATATGAGATTAGCCCACTAGCTCATATGAACATATAAGCCCAACGGCTTAGATTGAATCTGGACCGATCTGACAATCGCTGATGCCAAGTAATGCTTGAATTTTATTTATTTTTCTACATATCCAAATCACTTGTAATTTTAAATATGTGTTCTTCTCATCAAGGCGCACTTAATAAAAATATAAAAAAATTAATCATGAAAATAAAATGACCAAAATACCCCCAAAACATTTCGAGAGTATTTTGATCAATTTATTTCATGTATAATATTTTTTGATATTTTTTGAAGATTCACCTAATCTCAGATTGAATCAGGTTCGGATCTTAATCCAAGTCCAAATATTATGGATCCGATATAGTCCAGATCCAATATCTACTTTTTGGATCCGAATCTAGATCCCAATGGATCCGAACCTAATCCTACCCATTCTCAACCCTAGTAATTCATTGTTTGGTTCGACTCAAAGTTACCGGGAACCAAAACAAGAATGACTCCAGAATCGTGGACGGGATTGTCAGATCAACATAGACCCCAAAAGTTTCGATAGTCCAGGATCAAGATGAGTACAACATATCTAGCTTGGAGCCAGATCCCATATATAAAGGATCACGATCCCAACGCTCATGGGATCTAAATCCCCCCCTTTATTTCTTTCTTACCATTAATAATTAAAGATTTGCATCCCATTTTGCAACGACCACTTTCTGACTTTTCATGCAATCCCAATCCCAAATACCCAGGGACCGCGATCTATATAAAATAAGTCCTTGATCCATAAATATAAAGGATAGCAGTCCCAATGCTCACACAAACTAGATCTCCTTTCGGATTCCCTCTTCCTATTATATCAAATGCTCTAATTATTTGAGCTCTTGATATGCTTTAATTATTTTAATTGTGCGTGTGGGTGTGCGTGCATGTGTGCGTGTGCATGTGAGTATGAGTGGAATTCTGATGTTAGTCGGGCTTCTTGAATGTTACATAAAACTATTGTAGATGTTCAATTTTGTCTAGGTTTCCCAGTCTTGAGAGACCCATCAACTATAACTTGATAGTTGGAGTTAGGACAATACAAGTTTTCTGAGAGAGAGATAGAACTGCTACAAAAAAGCTATTACTGAATGATCCTAAAGAATCACAATCAATCACTATATACTTACAGGGCCACTCAGTCCCTAGGCAAAATTGCTTTTCCTGTCCAAGGTTAAGTAGGTCGGATCACCAAAAGTCCTGCCAAAGGAAAAATAAGCAAAACCCATAAACATAAAATCTTGCAGAGATGCTTAACTAAACAAAGATGAAAGAGGAGCTTTTACTGCAAGAGAGAGAGGGAGAGAGGTGCCTAGTTGATCTCACTGTTTCTACCTTGGGTTTCTGACATGGAGAAGTACGAATAGCAAGGCCATGAAGATACAGGAAGACCCAACAGCAAGACAGGCCACCGCAAGAAAGTTATTCTTCCCGCCCAACCAGCTCTTCGTCGAGAGGACCAACCTCTTCTTCCCCCCAAAACTGTAAGTGTTGTAATTGTTAGAGAGAAAAACTGTGAGAATCTCATCTGCATCTAGATCAATCTCTATCACTCCATACAACTTTCGAAAGCTGGGCAGTGCAGCAGTGCGCATCCACACCATGAGATCCTCTTGCTCACTTAGCTGCATAGAAAAATAGATCAAAGAAATGAAGAGAATGGGGTCAGGTCTTTCTCTGAATGTAAGATTCTCTGAAATGTCGAAAAATATAATATGATCTATATGATCATAGAGAAGCAGTGGTCATAAGTCTCAGTGCAATCCAATCAGTTCCATCATGACTGCTGGACAACGAATTGGACCTACCACTTCCATTATGTCATGTTCTAGCAGGTCCAAGTTCATTCCATTCTGTCCATTTAAGTAGTAATGTTCTAGTGGGTCCAGGTTCATTCAAATACACGCGTTTCCTGAGCGGATATGCTATAACATTCTGTAATGTGCATAATCTGTAAACTAAGAGAACATTCCCGTTTTTGGTAGGTGTTTAGTGGTGGAACAATTTTGGCAAGATGTGATGGACATTTAGGCTACAAATTGGCATTTATCAGGTAGTGCCATTTCAACATTAACCCAAATGGAGCATTTCTGACACAGCACTAGCTATCAAATGCTTGCCTTCATTTGAATTCTCATTTTCCTGATAAAAGAGTTATCATTCAATGATGATTTTTTTTTCTTAATTATTGAACCACTCAACATGAACTTCGTACAACTTGTAAGGATATCAAGAAGGGACAGTTACAGGAATTTGGGGGTCAAGTTTTGCTCCACCAATTAAGGATCCATTCTGAAAATTGAAGGGGTAAACATCCTTCCCAAACTTGTGTTCTCGGTCGCTCTTCCAAGCTATATTTTTCCGGTTCACCTTTAGTTCTACTGACTCATGAACAAAATTGTAGGTGTCATTAAACAAGCTCCAGGCGACCAAACCACATGGGACGATGGGTAGTCCATTGCCGGTCTCTTCAGGTTTGCATGATGCAGTGTCCGTGTATTTCAACCCATACAAAAGCTGGCGGTCACTTCTGCTTTTAACATACCTGCACAAGATTTAAAATGTTTTCAAGTAGAATTAAGTTTACTTGTGAAAATAAAACATAGTATTACATAGCCAGTTGGTGCACCACGAACAAAAACAAGAGAAAATGGGAATATGTACCATAATCCAATGAAGTATGTTGTAAGTACTCCATCGAGGTATACATAATCCATTGCTAGTGACCGATAGAGATTAAATTGTAGGGACTCCACCATGATACCACCCAAGCACAGTTGCCTCAATTATCATCAGGAATGGATGATGGAGACACCTACTGACTTTGTACCATACGCCATTTGATTATGGTACAGTTTTGCGAGATTTTTAAAATGTAGTAGTTTTGTGGAAAAAATATGTTGAAAGGTTTTCAAAGATATTAAGAATAAATAACAATATGCCCAAAAAACAAAAAGAATTAAGTAAATTTCAGACAGGTTGTCCATTGTTATCTGCTGGAAATATGTACTTAGGTAACTTCTGCTAAAAAAAATGTGGACTTCACTTTAAAGCAATTTAAAGAAAGAAACCACATGTCGAACACTCGAAGTTCATCATTTTTTCTATTAGACAAGGAACCAGTAGACACCGGAACCAGTAGACACCCAGTTCATTACCATCCAACTCACCATTACAATGGAACACCTCTATAAATCAATTAAACTGATAGGAAGCGAAGAAAATAGAATCATAGGGAGGGTAAAAAAGAAAAAAAAAAAAAAGGCAGATTGCGGGCATATCGCCGCATACCTTCTCCTCCTAATTGAACGTTTTTCTCTTGAACTCTAGTAGTACATTCTCAGTGTAATACTCTCTATTTATCTCTCACAATACACTTCCTCCGTTCTCTATCTTTCCCTCCACCTCTTCAGCTGAGTTCTCCTAGCTCTTATATAAGCTCTTGTTGTCTCAATTTGGAGGGAGCAATCAAGGCTAAATGAGAGCAATCAAGACTAACTGAGAGCAAAAATGGCGAAACAGAGGGCACAACAACTTAGATCAGGACTCAGAGAGATTCCGAGGGTCTGTGCTGTATGCGCCGGGTACTGTGGCACTAGTCTGAGAGAGTCTGCACCACACCCGTCGGCACAGTTCACTTCCAGACCTTGGAAGGGTCTGCAGTGAGTTGTGGTGCTTCCTATTCCGTCTAAAGCTTTCTGATATGCCTCTGGGTGGCAAACCAGGGACTTTCCAGAGATGATCACAATATAATTTTGACCGAATCTCATACTTAACCTAAGCTCGACGAGCCCCACGGTGGGCGCTAAACTATTTACACAAACTCCCAATTCCTGTCCTTAATGTCCCCGTGCAACAGTACCAAACAAAAAAGGAACTTCCAAGGTGCCTCAATTGGACTAATATAAACACTTGACAGGTGTACCAAGCAAACAGCTATGACCTGCCATGGTCCATAAAAGAAAAGAATGTATAGAAAAAATTTCTCTGCATAAAACCTATCATAAGCTCGCTATTTCTTGCTTTATTTTCCTCCCTTACCATATCTTATCATTAAGTACTTCAAAAACTTGGGTTTTTTGCCGCCAAAACACACTCGATTGTTGTTTTTTCTAGATGCTTATTCTTTCTCATTGAGATAAGCTTATCTGTAAAACAATTCTTACGATAATCGTCTCCATTCTGATCCCAATACCTCTCTTTAAAAGTAGCCAACTTTACTAGTTGCTTCCCATGCCTCAAATTAACTTGAAAGAATTGTTCTTTCCTCAAACTTCCCTTATCTCCAATTATTCCCCATTCCCCACAATCTCAGTCCATTGGATCCCCTTCTCACAAACTCCCCAAGGCCTCTCCTTAATAATGTCCAGGTGAAACATATTGCTTAACAAAAAAGAAGTTCTAAAGTGTCTCAATTGATAGAGGTTTATATCAACAAAACTTACAAGTCTAACCAGTAATTCGACGCTTGAAAATGAGGAAAGGAAAAACTACGTCTGTTCATGGACGTATGGAACTAGCTTCCCAAAGCAAAGTGGACATCCCATTCCTTTTCAATTAGAAAAAAAGCAGTATGATAAAAGGACCATATCTGCAGATCTTCCCAATCAGCATCCATGGACAGATTACGCGGTTCTATGATAAATATAAAGATCTCTAAAAGAATCCAGATAAATCAGAAAGCTGAAGCTACATCTGAATACTAAATTTCAGTAGCTAAGCAGTCAGAAAACCTATAATGGCACACCAAAAAGAGATCACATACCTCCGATGGTTCTGATAGAAGCTATCAAGCTGATAATAGACATAAATTGGAGCTTTCATGTAGCTGGGAACCTGCACAAAACAAAGTAAGCCTCTCTGGGAGTTTTTAATTAGGTATGCCCACGTTTGTGTGTGTGTGTGTGTGTGTGTGTGTGTGCGTGTGTGTGTGTGTATTACACAAAACTCATGAAGAAAGAATCCACTCTTAAACATCCATAAAAAGGTTCAGGTATTTAATGATAAACATGTTTCGGTAATCATCACATGCTACTAAAAGAACCTAGCCTGTAGCCTGGTCCATGCTTCACACCGCGTGCTATGAACCCAACTTGTGAACTAGTTCGGATATTTGGTTCAGAATTTACTTTGGCTACTTGAGCCTTAATGAATTACTGTTATTAAAATAATTTGCACCAGGAAAGAAAAAGAATCACCTTCAAAATTCGAGTACAGTTCTTAGAAATAGAGTCATCTTTGATATATGCCACTTTGTTGTCTCTGAACACCTCAGGTATACATTCTGTATCATAACGGTCTACAATCTCCACAACCTGAATATTAAGTTAACAATTAGCATCCCCAAAACAACATTGAGCCTAGTTGCAAATGAATTCTGCGGTGATAAAGAAAAAAAAAAGATTATATACACTTTGAGAGGCCAGGAGAGCAGCAACTCCAATAGGAATGCAGATGAATCCAACAGACAAGAACATAGTGATAACCTGGAAAACAGCAAGCCATAACTTTTTGATTGAAAAATGACAAGCCATATATAATTCTTATCCACCATAGCATAGATGAGAAATAAAAAATTACATAAAACGACATAACTCACCCATCCTGGTGTCAATACAGGCTTACATGCTGGAAGGTTCTGCTGGGTGAACCCGTAGACTACAAAAGCCATGCATAATAAGGTTATTGGCATAATACAAGTAAATCTCAATAAGAACATCCCAAAGTAACAGGAGTGTTTTAATGCGAAATTTGATATAAAACACACTTCCACAGTAAGAAATGTCACAAAGTGGTAATGTCAAACCATAGCAATTCTTCAAAAAGTGTTTGTATTGTATTACCTTTGAGGGAATTTTATGTCTTTCCTATCTTACAGTTTGTAGATAAATGAGATGTATCAATACTAGTAAATGAAATGCAATCTCCACAATTTTCGCAAGCATCAGAAATGAATAATGAATTAATAAGCATGATAATCTAGTACACGATGTCCATAATAAAAATCTTTAACCACATACATAAGCAAAAGCAATAAACCTCAGAGAACAGACAATGGACAAATAGTCCAAAATCATCAGAAATAAAAATGGAGAGAACACCTTGAAACAAAACTCATAGGTTATTCTGGTTAGATGGTCGTGAAAATAATCAAACAGCAATCAATGGGAAATCAATGAGCTCGTATGCTTGCCAACTAGCTCTTCTATTGTTAGAAACCCTTGGTCAGAGTGTTGAAATCAATAACTAACCTATATGTATAATAAATCAATAACTAGCCAAACTGGGTTGTTCATCAATACATTTTGTTTTTGAGTAAAGATATTCATCTATAAATTTCATGAGGTTTCAGGAAAAATTCAAACTTGAATTTTTATTTTGTATTTTTTCTTTCAAAGAAGAAGGCCAAAACCATCTTGCATTTTTTTAATTGATTTTCCGGCTAGGTCAACAGGCAATTCTCTATTAAAATCGCGTTCCAATTTTCTTTGTCTAGAGTTATCTTAATTTTTCTAAAACTATCAGCTCCATAAAACTATCAGCTCCATAACCAATTACGAAAATTCATCACCACCGCTTAAACCAATTCCAAAAATTCATCGCCACCACTTAAACCAATTCCAAAAAATCATTTCTGCTGTATAAATGAATCAATGAATGTTGCAGAATAATTCAATCACCTTATCTTCAAATTCACCAGCAAATTAATTCAAAAAATAGGTTGCGTAACCCAAAGATTAACAGAGAAAGAGGAGAATTGCTCTTCAAAAAGAAAAGAAAAGAAAAAAACAGAGAGACGAGAAGAATTGCAGTACAACAAATTTGGGCATAAAAACAAACAATAATTATGCACTAAAAATGAGAGAGAGAGAGAGAGAGAGAGAGAGAGTTACCACTAGAATGCAATGTATTGCGAAACCCAGAGTGAATTTCTAAATTTGATCCAGATGTACTAGCCTCGTCGTTATCCATAGAACCCAAAATGGAACTCCTATCTTCTACATGTAATTCCTGCAATCAGAAAACGAAGAGAGAGAGAGAGAGAGACAGAGAGAGAGATGTCACCTATTGATCGCATAAATTGAATAAAGCCAGGGTTTTTAATCGAAAAAATCCACGAGAAAGAGACATGAGTACCTTTAGGACCTGATCTTGGTAAACTGGCCTCCGCTGCAACCATCCCATACAAACCCTAGATTTCATCAATTCCCCTTGGCATTGCACAGAATTTGGGTGTTTTCCATCAACTCTCCTTGCTTACATGGACGTCATATCTTGAAGACGAGAAGGATTCAACCAAATTTCATCACAACGGGTGAAATTAGCGAATGTCAACAGAACTCAAACACACACACTCTCTCTCTTGGATGCGTCAACACCAATGGTTTAAAAACCGGATCGGTGACCCGGATGGGGTTTTTTAAAAACAGATCCGGATCGGCGAATCGGCGATCCGGATCGGCGAATCGGCGATCCGGATCGAAATCGGGTGAATCGGTCAGAATAAAGCTTCAAAAAAATCCGAAAAAATTATTAAAATTCATTATAAATATTAGTTTTTAGGAATTCAATAAAAAATGAGGGTACTCCATTAAGAATTTTCATGTTTTTGAATGAATATGCGAATATTGATATGTTCTTTCCCTGCATGAACCGCCATTCAGCATTTAATTTACAGTATTTCGTGCTCATCCCTACACTGTTGCTGTTGGGACTCAATATGTGAATAATATGGCTGGGATAGGGTGGCCTCAGAATCATCATCTCTCTCGTTTTCTCTTTGAATAATATGGAATTAAAAAAAAAAAAAACAATTTTTCAAAAAAATCTATCATCG